GACGTACCCCGGGTCGTTGGGCACCTCGGCGGGGCTGTGGGCGACATCCTGGCTCTGGGTTTCCATGGGCTCGAGCGCCGGCGGCGTGGGTCAGGCCTTCGGGCGCACTACGACTACGAGCGAGCGACGACGCGGCGGGGACGATTCCCGAAGTCGCTCGGCTGCACTACCGACTACCGGCACGAGACTGCCGCGCTGGGCGCACCCCTCCACGCAGCGCCGCCCGCCGCTCCGCGCGCCCCTCGCCGCCGCCCGCGCCGTCCCGCTCGCCGCCCGCGCCGCGCCGCGCCGCATCGATTCATTCACTCCGTACACAATTATTCATACTCTCGGCACGACGGACGCGAAGAGCGACGCGCTCGGCACCACCACGTGAGCGCGCGACACGTGCTCGCGCCCGCCGTCCGCCCCTGCCCCGCGCCCTCCGCCCCGCGCCCGCCTTGCGAGCACGCCCACCACGCACCCACGCGGCCGCCACCCCCACACATACAACTTCATACAACTTTCCAAAGTTTAAAACAAATACTCGTAATTAACAGTTCGAAATGGGAGAATCTCAACTATTGAGATTCCGTCCTTTAATCAGCCAAAGTATAAAAAACTTTTAGATCATCCTAGTTCGTTACAAACCCAAGTCGCATCTTTGACGCAATATTGACAAAATCATACATCATTAGAGACTAGCTGTCCAACGTGATGTTGAGTTTCTATGACGTAAACAGAGATAATGACCGAATGACGGCAAAGCGAGCCAACATTGCGAAATAGGTGTAGGAAGAAAACACGTGACGTCACGAGGAGGCAGCGCGTAGCGGCGGCTACGAAACTTCTACGCCAGACATCTTTACGCGCCACTGAAAATAAACGATACGCGATACATTTTCAACAATAACAAACAACTATGACACATTAAATTAAGTTCTATTCGTTGTACATTTTATATCTACTTATTAAAAGATAGTATAATATTGATAAAAATGAGGAAAACAAAAAATAAAGACAAACATGAAGAATTTTTATCACATTTATTACCTAATTAATTTCAAAAATTTAGGCAGTACATTGAAAAGCATGCAGCTTACTTACAGACAATCTTTTAATGCAAGAAATTATTCGTTATCTAGGTACAAGATCAGCAATCATGACTTTTACAGAAATCAATAATGTTGTATAAAAAATTGTGTTACATATTTATAATAAAACCATTATCATCGTTTTAAATTATACTCTAATATAGTGATTAAATTAACGACATGAAATATTTGAATTTCGGCTTTAATTATTCTGTACTTTTGACCTCCTTTTAATTTTACTACAGTTCAATCTTTAAGAATATTTTTTGAGCGATAAAATTTTATTTAATATCTTTCAAGTACCGACTTTGTTCAAATTGATTTCGATGATAAATTATTATAAATGCCAAAGACAGAGTTAATTTTGATATGCAATTAACCCTTATTGTGGCAAGATTTCTTTTTTGAAGAAAAGCAAAAAACCTCTAGAAATGTCATATGTTTAATAAAACTAAGTTAAAAATTATTTTATAGTGATCGTATATTTTTATGAAGTTGTATGTATGGTAAGGGTAGGGTATGTATGGCATGATAAGGGTTAAATTGAAATTTTATCAAATCCTACAAAAATTACGTAAATAAATGTTTCCAGTGTAATTTATCCCTTGTAAAGAATACGTTACGGTTGATTAAGAAAATAAACAAAAATGAATTTAAAACGTATTACTTTTACGATCACTCTACGCTCTGCCTAAGTATACTAATAATAAAATTAACATGTGTTATTTAAATGTTTCAGAAATAAACTCACTGACGTAATACTGCACATTGATCATTCAAAACTTCGATATCCAGATTCAACGTGAGATTGTCTTATCGTCGCATACCAGCGGTAACCAATCACATCACTATGTACTAATTACTACTGATTTACAACTTATTACATATATGCTACTCTATATATTTAATAATTGGCAAAATAGAAACTCAACTAACTGTGGCTTTCTGACATCAAAATCTCTGTATAAAGCATATCGCAATCCCTGTTATTTAACAAAACAGAGTTAACAATGTTTTAAAAGGAGATTTTGGATTCAGAAATCCACCGTTAGTAGAATATTAGTAATCATCCTAAACTTTTATACCGAGACCATAGGGATAAAATTAAATATTACTTTTTATATAGTAAGGAGTTTTCATTTCCTAAAGATTTTTTAAGAAGACAAGTTGGAATGGATCCAACCAAAGGTTTGAATTCGTGGTTGACTAACCCTTGGCATGAGAATGGAAAAACAAGTTAACGCAATACCAGCAGTTAGCTGTGCAACAAGCAAACATATCATGTAAATAAACAAAAACTTACAAAAAGTTTAAATTTAGAAGTAAAAAATGTTGGCTAGAATTCCTAGACCATTAATGTAGTACAATTAAAAAAATATCAAAAGACAAGAGATGAAAATTCCATTGTCGACATGAAACTGTCTTCATCTTTTATAGAAACCTTTATAAAATATTAGACAGTTCTCTGCGAGGGTATGCTATATTAGTAGTTAATTAATTATTTAAGCGAGAGCTCGGTGAGATCACATTTGGTAAAGCTAAATTCGCACGTTCCATTTTCCAAATAGAACCTGTTCGGATACGAGCTAAAACACGTACTGTGAGATTGCTTTTATATGTCACAGGCGCTTAAAATAAATCTTTTAACCGTAACTTTATTCATTCTGTAGAGCAAAACAAATTCAATAACTTTTTGTACAAAATTCTAAAATAACTAACATCTATATTAGTTTAAAATCAACCGACAAAGGTAAGCTGAATGTAAACCAAAAGTTTAAAATATATCGCTATGATTTACATTAAAAAGCAACCTTAGTGTGAATTCAATACTTTACGTTTTTTTTTTGTTTCCATAATGAAATCTACAATCGGCAGTGTTATGTAAATATATTACATTTCAATTTGATTTAGAAGTAGTCAGACCCACAATAAAAATCTCACAAATGATAGGCAGAACCCAAAAACGAATAGAAAACTCAGAAGCATATTTTGAACTTTGCCCCGATTATTTTATAAATCCTTTTTTTTATTAAAATGGACGTCAGTACCTCGATAATGCCTCTAAAGAATCACTATCGCAATAATTTCAATATTGACAATCAAAACTTAAAACTAATCTCTGAACTATTAGACAAACTACTACAAAGTTAAGGAATTTATTTTTTACGAAATTAAAACTTATCGGAAATTAATATTAACTGTTTTGTTATTATTATTAATTAAATAGTATTCAATTCTTAATTTAAATGTGTATAAAAATAAACAAATGAATTAAATAACTCAATTTATTTAAAGCACATTGAAACAGCAAAAAAAAATACAATAAGTACATTTTTTGTTTATTAAAAAACGGAAAATACAAAAATAAATATTCATAAGTTTCAATTTTAAAGCCATACAATAATAAAGCTATGTGTAACAAAAGCAGTATAAAATAATTCAGCCTTAAAATATTAACTAAAGAACAACGCGTGTACAATAACATGATACTCTGTCGTGGAATGTAACGTCACTAATGTCTCAAAACTTGTATGCGAAATACCGCACATAAAGTACAGTCGCCTAAGTTTTCGGTGTTCCAGTTTACAGGAAAATTGCTTTCAACTTCAAAGCCCACTTTTTCAAACTATTATCATTTTGTAAGTAAACCACCAACAACGAACTTAACTGTACACATCTTTATACTTTTGTCAGTCTTGTTTGTAATTAAAAAAATTCACCGCGTATTTTTTGTACACTCTCATAGTATAAAGGTGCTGTGACGTCATATGATTCAGATATCATGCTATTGTAAAAAAAATAATAAAACAAAAATACGTTCTAATATAAAGCTTCAAAACAATACAACAAAAAGCTCAGCCTTTTCCAAAAATATAAATATAGATAATTTCCAAAATTGCACGTAAGCGATGCATAAAGCTAAAATTTTATTGCATTATTAAAAACATTTCAAAAGCACTCACACATACACATCTACACATACACATCTACACATACATAACACACACACTCGGATTCATTCACAAAGTTACTACAGTTTTTTTACGATTTTTGTGACAAATGTCATCTCACTGTACCCATACAAGAATCCCTTACGAAATGTACTGTCAATCAGGTTCGTACAAACTCTTATAAATATACAAATTAAAGCCTTAGAAAGCATTGCCTCACGAGATAACAAGCAATGAATATTTTCAAATATTCATTTCATACTGCACAAAACTCTTAAAAAGCTAAAAACACAACTGTATCTTATAGTAATAAATGTATAACAGTCAGTTTTTGTACTTTAATGCAACGCGTGCACAATAACATGAAACTCACGATGTGTTACGTCATACATTCCCACTAATTAATATTTGGATGATAGAGAATCGGCTTTCAAACTCAAAACAAATAACATTTCCCATTTGAAACAAGAAAATATTGATAAGCTGGAATAATTCATTACATATATATTTTTTGCACAACCGTTCAAGCGTTGACGTCATCGGATACGAGCTTCATGTTTTTGTTCACGAAATTACTTATAAAAAATAATACAAGGAATCAATCCGTCTGTTTGAATAAAATAAGATGTATATTTGAATGGACAATACCAATTCGCGGTCATATTGGCATGAAATAAACATTTCGTATCATATTTTAAATGTATAAACAAGAAATGACGCAAAATGACTTAGAAACAATATTTAAAGCAGATATATAAACACGGCTAAACACTCACGTATATTCGTCCGGTGGCGGCACCGACTAGTTTCGAGCCCATCGGGGGCCCTTCATCAGGATGAGTGGTACTGGTATTACTTCGCAGACGCGGCCCGTCCCTCATGGGCCCCCGATGTGCTCGAAACTAGTCGGTCGGTAGTTTAGTATAATGTCTCACGAAAGTTTGAATAATTTAATATTTAAAGCCAAATTATAATACATTTTTTATAAAACTGACTGAAAAAAACTATTTTTTATCAACATTTTGCTCTGAATCTTGAACAGTATTGTTATGGAATGTCTAAGTAATACTTTAAAAATCTGTACCATCATTATAAGGAATGATTTGATTACTTGCTTGCATTGAATAGGCTCTGAAAGTACTGAACTGATTTTACAACTTATTTAACAATTTGGAAGCTGCACTATCCCCTTGTGACAAAGACTTTACTTGTTTCTAGATTTTTAATTCCGCAAGAACGAAATCGGGGACATCTAGTATGTAACAATTTAAATATATACATCATCTTTATTCATATTGTAAAACTTAGTAACTCTTAACAAAAATTTACTAATCTCATAATGTTATTGTGAATTATTAAGTTTTTTTCCCATACAAATATGACTACTGAAATAATAATAGTTATAAACACTATTATTAATGCAAAAACCCGTATTTGAAATGGAATTTCGTGATGATGTAATTCAGTCATAAAATTATATGTTTGATAGAACAAATAACACGTCAACAACGCAGTTAAATTTGGCCGCCATTGGGTAATCAAAAAAAATATATATGCAATAACCTTAATCAACTTTGATAACGTTTCAAACTTTAAAACGTGGAATCAAGAAACTCTGAAATATAATAAATAAGAATCATAAGCTCTAATCTCAAACAATTTCAAACACCAAAATCAAAACATTGGGGTATAGAATTTTAGGGTAAGGGTAATTTTTTTAACAATTAACTTAGTATTCCTAGACAATTTAAAATGTTTCTAATATCAATGTAGTTTTAAAGAGTAAATCCTTATCTAAAAACATCTACCTTTTGACTTACCTTAATACTACAAAGTTCTTAAAGATACCAGTATACATTAAAACGTTTCAATTCAAGCACAGTTTCAATGTTAAGATAAAAATCAACACTGAAAAATATTTCGAAAAAGATACTTAGAAAAATATATCAAGTAAATAATACTGATTTAATGCAGTCACAAATTACCCTGGATTAAAAAACACAACCATAACTTCCAATAGGAAAGCTTAAAATATTTTTAACTAAATTGGTGTCACCGTTGTCAGAGATTCGTTTACCTTATAAATATTAAAAAAAAAGTTACGCAAAACAAAAAATTAAGTCGTTATATTTTCATTAGTTTAAATATAAGGCTCCTAAAGGTACGACGCGTCCATTGGCTCGCAACGGACGTACCGCACGCATTTAATCTGTGCGTGCGGTGCGTCCTTTCGGCCCAATGGACGTGTACCTTAAGAGTCTTTCCTGTTTTGTCGAAGAGAATAAAAGAAATAGCAATATATCTAGAATTCAAATTAGAATTCTATTGTCGTTGCAATAGTGTTAAAATTACATAATAAACAAAACACAAAGATGACACCAAAAGTTTTAAATGACTAATTATAAAAAGCTTATCAGTCAGGTAACATAAGAGGTAGATAAAGACCTTAAGGTGACAGACAAATCACAAAGACTCGCACAATATTTGCTAATGCTAATACTTAAAGCAAAGTGAGCGTTCTGAACGAATGGTTCATTTAATTTGACACAATTACAACCAGTAAGTACACACAAAAGCTTTAAAAAAGTCTGGATTTATTTTAATTTAATTTTTGACATTTTGTAACTTCTTATTTGTAGCCAAAGTTTTTTTTTATTTATATTAAGACAATTCTCCTCTTCCTTCATATTATAGTCAATATAATGGAGATTATTACTAATTACTAAGATATTTAAAAATGGTTGAAACCTACATTGGATTTTAGCAAGTTTAATATAAAATATTACAAATGAGAACAATTCAATTAATCTGCAATATAATATTGCTGTCAATTTTGTGTGCATTGAACATTGTCGGCATTTGAAGCCAACAATGCAGACAATGTGGCATGAGTGGCACTCAAATTGCCAGATGTGGGACATACTATATTAGAAGTATGATTCAAAATCCCACCACTAGTACCCGAACTGACTATAGTTACATTCGGTGGTGGGGTCGCGCCTGTCGCGAAACCCGTAGATAAAACTTTCTGGGTGTTATGCATCATAAACGATTTACTTACCCCAGAGCTACCGAGAGTAAGCACTTTTTTCAACATAACCGAAGAACTGGTAGCATTTTCAATCATATCTTTAGTAGATATCGTATCAAAATCACTAGAATTAGTTAGCACTGAACTTATTTTGGACGATGTCGTATGCGTCGGTGTTCGAACTGCGGTGAACGAGACAGTTGTGGTCGCGTTATTTCTATTCACGATGTTTCTTGAAACTATAGCATTATGTAGAATGTTTCCCGTTGGAAATGATTTTGATGATACATTGATGTACTGCGCTGGGGTACTGAGAACTGTGGCATTTGATGAACGTGTACCGAAGCCAATAATAGTTCCAGCGGTACCCTGAGACATGACCGTACTGATTGTGCCTGTCTTTGTGTTTATAGGTAATCTGCAAAAGGGTAATATTTATTAAATAACTGCCTGCACTTAAAAAATATTTTAGTGGATATGTTAGGCGGTACTGACGCTTTTACCCCAAAAAACGTAGTAACAGTCAAATTTCTTAGCTATTAAAGTAATATGTTGCATTTCTATTAAACAGAGACAATCATCGTTTTTTTTTCTACTTATATGTGTTATTTAACAAAGAAATTCCTAGCCTATGAAAGAAATATAAGCATAAAAAGAACAGAAAATAAGTAAGCACTCACCCACGAATCATCTGCGAAGTAGACCCAGGTATACTCTGTATAGTGACAGTGGCTTGCGGTAGATGGTGTATAGTCCGTGAAGCAGTTTGTGGCCCCGCGGAGCTCGTGTAGTAGTGCAAAGTGCTGCCTGTAATGCGAGGCGTGGCAATGTGAGCGACAGGCACACTGTGTACCATGCCACTTGTAGTTGATGCCACTGTTATACACTTTGTGTTCTGACTACCCCCAAACTGAAAGACAAGATTCATATTAGATTATGAAACATTGACAAATTCACTGAATTATGAATGACAAGAATTTGTACTAAAACACAATTGTTTTGATTATTTTTTAATTTGATTTGATATCTAAAAATTGTCTTGAAATGAGTAGTATCCTAACAGAATTTTTGAGTACAAAAATGTTACCATTTAAAAAAATTAAAATTTAAAAAATATCAAGAAATGTATACATTATCTGTGTTGAGTGTAGTTCCTAAATCAAATTCATCTCCAACCAAAGTAATCGTGTCGGGATTGGCTCCTGTTAATTTTTCAATTGTCTTCCTTGCATCCGCATCACTTTCAATGTTACCTAAATTACGGCTCAAAAACTCTATGTCCGCTTCAAGCAAACCATCGACTAAATGATTCTGTACATCATCTGTTTGTTTGCAAAGTGAAAATGCGTCTTCATTCTCTAATTTTATATCCTCAACTTTGATTCCTTCAACATTTATATCGTCGATATTTTCGACTTTTATATCACTCACATCAATATCTTCTACTTTAATTGTATCAACTTTTATCGCATCCAAATCTTCAACTTTGAAACTTTCAACTTTTATATCGTCCATATCTTCAACTTTAATATCAGCAAAATCAGTATCTTCTTTAAGCATATTCGATACATCGGCATACTCTCTACCAGTATCTGGATTAGTCATGTACTGACTTGCATTAAAATTACTACTATCAAAATTGTCATGGCTCTCCAACTTTATATCGTCCACTTTGTATTTTTCCTCCTGATTTGAATTACTAGTTGATGGTTGAGGACTATCGGCATTTCCAATATCACCACTGAGCATTTTCTTTAAAACATATGCCTTTATTTTTCTTAACATAAACGGTGGCACTTTAAATCCTGTTAATTCACCGAGCATAGGCAAAGAGCTATGCTTATAAGTATCACTGGTTGCAAGTTCTTCAATATCTTCTAAAACCTGAAACAATATTAAATATTATTAATTATCCCAATTCCATGGTACCCAAAAATTGTATAATTTTCTCACCATTATATAAGTTTTTCCACCAACAGCATTGACTAAGTTGTGACTGGCTATCCATTCTTTGTCAAGAGTGTCTGCAGGATATCTGAGCAAACCAGAATGTCTGGTATACAAACGCCCTCTTGCATTGCCAAGTCCCAAAACCTAAAATACCAATAAGAAACATCTCATGTCAATGAAAATTTTATAGTAGTACTAACAGTATTAAGTAATATTTTTATCTTCAGGTATAACTGCTTCGATCAAATAAAATTTGTACTTAGATTATGCAAACTATGCAAGGTTGTCTAATGGCAACTGTCACATACAATTTTTGGTGACCACCCATGTTTTACCTAGTACTATTGAAAAATGTTTACATATATAGTTTTTTCTATCCTAATTACCTTATGAGCATGAGATCCCATTATAAAAAGTGTATCCTGAGTCAGCCTGGCAGGATTCCACTTCTCTGGATCTCTTAGTGAGTGAGCAGGCATTGGAGATACAGCATTCTCGACTATTTGTTCCTGTTTAATCTTCTTACATTTATTAGTCAAATCCGAATCAATATCTTGCTCTTTTCTTTTACTTTGTAATTGACTCTGTAACTGGAATGAAGTTCAAAAATTAAAACATGCATTTTAATTTAAACTAAAACAACTAAACAATAGGATTGTTAAGTCAAAGAATGTACAATCAATGCACGATAATAATGTGGAACGAATCATTTCTATTACGGTAGGGTCAAATTCCTTCAGCTTGTTATATTACAGGTGTATTAGTATGAGTAAAAGAAGCGTTTTGAGAACCCAGAAGTCAACATACTCAAAACTATGGTAAAGATTCATTGTATGACCTCCTACAGCCATCTTAACTTCTAAATTACATTTTGCTCTAATTACTTACAGTTTGCTTAGTAAATCTTGTATCAGCTGTCTCATTAGTACTTTCACATGCTTCATTAGTTGTAGTTACAGGGCGAGATGGTGTGGTATACAACAGTCTAGTAGCATCTAACATTGCACGACACACTGCTCTCACCTACAAAGGTAAATGAAGACAAATAATGTTGTAGACTTAACAAACAGACAAAGGATTTTCAAGTAAAAGTTGAAACAATTAGGAACCATGTCCTGTCTATATGTTTTATAATATAAATTTTTGTATTACAATTACTTACCTGATCTTCACTAACAGATTCATCTCCCAAGTTTAATCTTATATTGTTTACTGCAGGGACAAAAAATTTCTGTAAAAAATGTGGAAAATAAATAAAATTTATTGATACAAAAAAGCTTAGATACTTGCATCTGAAATTAATAGATAACTAAAATAAATAGCCAAGGTTACTTGTAGAAGAGTTTATAATTTAGTATACATTGGATATTAATTGTAAGATACTTTGTTCTTCCTTTAATACATACCTCTAAATACTTCTTGATAACCTGATCGATTTCTCTAGTAACAGCTGACTGAATGGTTTGCCGGAGCATATCCAATGATTTATTAGCACTAGCACGGAACTCAGCAATAGGCCTTGAATGTGGCTGTACAGGACCAGGCAGACTAAAGCGCCTGTGCATGGTGGCCAAGGTATTAATCGCTATTTGTCGAGTTATTGGTTGTTTCTGGAAAAGGCATATTCACCTTCATTTAAAAAGGGATATTCTGACTAGAATCGCAATATAAACGAAAACATATATTTTGACACATGATACAGTATCAAGTACATTGCAACTCTAAAACTGACGAATTTAATCAATATGTAAATAAGCTTTGTATACATACCGTTTGCATATTAATTGTTGGATTTGCTCGATTAGTTAATGCTTTAACAGGAGCTTGAAAATTCCATGGAGTAGCTGGCTGATTTTCTGTAGGAATAGCATTCTTTGCTACATCCACATTACTCCAAGTCTTCTGAATCACCATTTCGAATTGGTAACATAAAGTTACAATACTAAGCTATTTTCACCTTAATTTTCGATTACACCATGATTTATGCAATGTTTAATTTAGTCTCCCCCAACATTAAACTCTTATTTCATTCAGAATATAAAAGAATAATTAAAAAATGAACAAGGGGAAATCAATTTTCAACCTTCAACTTCAATTTTCAAGTCAACTATTCATAAACGGCCATAGATTCAGATTGTTTGATGTTGACAATTGTCTATCTAAAAGACTACCCAAATCTACTAAAAACTACACCGAAAAAATAAATACGATAAAAAGACTTATTTTTCAAATTTGACGACGAGCCTACTGAGTAACACTTCACAGCTAGAAACACGAAAAATAATTACTTTAGACAGGTACAAATTGATCTGATCTCTGACCAATTTGCATCATACAAGTGAACCGTGAGCTAATCGGCAAATGTTCAATTTTAGTTAAGATACCTATGATTACCCAGATCTAACGCATCATCGGACTACTTAAAATATGTTTACAGAAAGTAGATGTTTATTTAAAAGAATTTCCTGCTTAATCATTTTAAAGTAAAAATGTGTAAAAATGCGTTAATTAAAACAAATATTGTATTAACATAAAGTTCACCAAAGAGTATATAAAATAAAATGAAGTTCACTAACACCTTTCCAAAAATGCCAGATTTAATTATTATTTTCCCTTTTATAATTTTTTTTGTTCACATAACTATATTACTTAAATATTTACGGTACCTCTTGAAAGTTTTAACTTACGGAATAGTTTACCATAATTTTACAAAAAGGAAACAAATTAAATATTTAACTGATTTCTGTATTGATTTTTTTGATCATTCGGCTATTTCCCCACCAAGAACTTACCAAAAATAGTAAAGAAATGAAAGTATAATAAAATGGTAACTCAACTCGCAGAAAACCTAGACCCGACAAACAAATGATCAATGATTCAGTTTCATTCGTTCACTCTATACTAGAGATGCTCATGTGAAATATTTGTATTATCTATCTTATCGATGTACTTTCAACATATCGATGAAAGTAAAGAATTAATAATCTTGACACTGCAATACGGTCAAAAGTTGATTGGATGGAGGAGGGGTGAAATGGGGAAATATCCTCTTTCTGTTCTTCTCCTCCTCCGTCCACTAAAGTTGGGCAACCTTGGTGCTTGACTACCTCTACTTGCCTCTACCTCTACTGCGGACTACCACTGCTCTTGGCGTCTCGTTGATCTAATTACATTATCACAATCTGTGGTGGACCTTTTAAGATTTCGATATCACGAGATTCAAAATATCATCGATTATTTTTCCGAATTTCTTCGACTTATCGATAGTCTAGTCATATACATGCCCATTTTTGAAGCAGAAATATGATCTGTTTTAGGATCCGTCACTGTCATTGACGTCATTGAGCTATAAAAGTTTTAGTCATTCGTTTTCAAGTTTTCATTTGCATTCAATAAAATTCAATTTTCAATTACTTCACTCAAGTGGTTTTAGAAGTGGTGACGCGGTTTATTCGTAGGTAAATGAAATCCAATAAAATACAGTGTTGGTTAATTTTGTTAGGTTGCAAGAATAAAATTAACTAGATAATTAGTGTATTAGTGTAGGATACTACCTAGAACTGTTTCTTGTATTTACAATTTCCGTCGTTAAATATTGATTGTATATAAGGATCGAAAATAAGGAAATACCTATGATTTGATAATTTCATATTATGATCATTAATTTTTAATTTTACATTATAAGCTCGATGTTTTATTGTGCCACATCATGATTTCTGCTTTAAAAATTGTAAAATATGTTAATATTTAAATTTTGAACTTTGTACGGCAAACAAGTTTGGCAAGATTTAGTTAAAAGTATCACTGTCATTCTTTGTCAGTCATTATTACCTAATGGTGAATTGACTAAAAAGGCATATCGTATAAGTTTTTTCTAATTAAAAAGAAGGGAAAAGTCACACAGGGTAAACAGTTAAAAGATGAAAAGAAAGACCATTCCTGAATTTTTTGTTGCACTCTATTGTATAGAGAATTGAAATACATTATTTCTATTTAACTCTAATGAATTAGATATATGTAAGCACATAAGACCTATATAAGCACAAAACGACGATTTATAAGGGGTTCATATGTTTTTATTCATTTAATTATAATAAATATAGACAAGCCACTCAGCGATAATGTAGCTTTCTAAAGTCAAAAGTGTTGTTGAAATTAGTCAAGTAGTTTTTGAGTTTACTTGTTGCATACAAAAATATTTACTGTTCCTCTATATAATGTTAGTATAGATAGAAATAATTTGCATCAACAACTTTTTTATTTTTGCCATTTTGACGCTGATTATAGTGGTTATGATTGTAGTGTAAATTAGCTGACAATAACTTTGATTTGTACTTTTAAATATAAACAAAGTAAAAGCTGTAATTTCCAAACAGCAACCTATCCAGTGTATATCTAAAGCGATCAGTGTTTTTGCATACCGTTACATCATTATTATGTTGACATCTGACACTCCTCTGCAATTGTCAGTTGTGCGATAACTATATAGGTTATTGACCTAGTTATTAGCTTCTATCTATTATGTGAGCTATTATCAAAAGGCATTAATATTAATAAGATGATTATATTTTAGTTCAAAAATATTACATACTAATGGCAATTTCAATTTATGCAGGGTATATCTTAATGCAATTATCATAACTGGAATAAAGAAAAGTAAAACTGAATACATTAAACAATATAATTTTAATAGCAATTAATTTTTTGCTTGTCTAACTAGCAACAGGCTTCTACCGCTGTGGTGTAAGTTATCCTTATATCTTTTTTATTTTATATTAAAAGGTTGTAATTGGGATAACAGCTGCCTGTTTTTGCTGAAGTACAGATTGCTGCCCATATCTCCAAATAAGTTGTTGATGGGTTGCATACCATAAATCTATACAGGGAGGATGTACAGAAAGATGAAATTTATCTTTCTATAAATTCACTCCCCTGCAAATTTCTTCATAAAGAAATCTTTACATCCATCATATTATTTGAAAATGTTTCTTTCGTAATATCCACTCAGCCTCAGTCATTGTATTCAGATTTGTGTTGTTATTGTTCTTTACAAAATGATTACAAGAATAAAAATATCAAGTGTTGATCCAAAGTACACGCTTCTTGCCAAGGCTGTTTGCTTTAACTAAAGTTTTGACTTTGACCTCTACTGTATTCAAAAATAATCATAATATATGCCTAAGTATTATTATGTCTGATTCTTTACTTATTTGTTATTTTAATTTCTATTGAGTGTTACATTTGAATACGGAAGTGCGACAATAATTAAAGTACAAAATACTTAATCAGATTTAACTATATTTGTGGCTTTATTATATTATCTGATATAATTGAATTGACATGGAAATTGATTTATAAATTGTAGAATAATGTTTTATTTTATAGTAGCTGTTGCCCGTGACTCCGAAAATGCATTTAAAATTCAAATATTTTTTCTTTACAGATTCCAACATGTCGAAAATCAAGGCAGGACCAGTTGTTGATGTTCTTGGAGATGAGATGACAAGAATCATCTGGGATCTTATCAAGGATAAATTGATTTTGCCCTTTTTAGACATAGAATTACATACCTATGATTTAGGTATGGAATACCGTGACAAGACTGAAGACCAAGTGACCATTGATTGTGCCAATGCAATTAAAAAATATAATGTTGGAATCAAATGTGCAACAATTACTCCTGACGAAAAGAGGGTTGAGGAGTTTAAGTTAAAGAAAATGTGGAAAAGTCCTAATGGAACAATTAGGAACATTCTTGGCGGAACTGTATTCAGGGAAGCTATTATCTGCAAAAACATTCCTCGTCTTGTAACCGGATGGGAGAAACCGATTATTATTGGTCGTCATGCACACGCTGATCAATACAAAGCAACAGACTTTGTCGTTCCCGGAGAAGGTAAACTGGAGCTTATCTGGACCCCACCATCTGGAGAACCCATTAAACATGTGGTTAACGATTTCAAGGGTGCTGGAGTTGCACTTGGAATGTTCAATACTGATGCATCCATTGTTGACTTTGCTCATTCTTCGTTTAAATATGCTTTAGACAGGAAATACCCTCTTTACCTGAGTACGAAGAATACCATTCTCAAGAAGTATGATGGTCGTTTCAAGGATATCTTCCAAGAAATTTACGACAGTGAGTACAAAGCAAAATTCGAGGCTGCTGGTATCTGGTATGAACACAGGCTTATTGATGATATGGTTGCTTATGCCATGAAGTCTGAAGGTGGATTTGTTTGGGCTTGCAAGAATTATGATGGAGATGTCCAGTCGGACTCGGTTGCTCAGGGTTACGGTTCTTTGGGTCTGATGACATCAGTTCTGATATGTCCAGATGGCAAAACTGTAGAAGCTGAAGCAGCTCATGGTACTGTGACTAGACATTATCGTTTCTACCAGCAAGGAAAGGAAACATCGACCAATCCAATTGCTTCTATATTTGCTTGGACTAGAGGTCTGTTGCACAGAGCTAAGCTTGACAACAATGATGAATTAAAGAAGTTTGCTGAAACTTTGGAAAGTGTTTGTATCGATACTATTGAATCTGGAGTTATGACAAAGGATCTTGCTATTTGCATCAAGGGTATGAATAATGTGAAGAGATCCGATTATTGCGAAACCTTTGAATTTATGGACAAATTGGCTGAAAATCTTAAGAAAAGTTTGGGGAAATGACTCATAACATGTCACAAAAGTAATTTATGAATATAATTTTTTGTCTACTTAATATATTTAATCAATGTATGGTGCAAGGATTTTGAGGGATTTTTATTGTATGGCATTTATTTATAAAAAGTATTAATAAACAATACTCAGTGGTTTTTTTCGTCTTTATTTTTTTCTTAAGATTATTTTTATAGGAAGAATCACAAGACACTTTCGATTTTATTCCATATTACGCATACATTTTCATATTATACTTTGTGTTTTTATTTGAAGGTAAATATATTTAAGTGGTTAGATAACAGTCCAACGTATAACAGCGAGGTGCCGTGTAATCAGCACTATCGCATTGGTTAACTCAAGGTCATTTTAAATTGATATTCATTTACCGCATTGATAAACAGTAGTTGTTGCTGGTAAAGTGAATTTGGTCGGCTGAATCTGAAGTAATAATAAACTGAAATAATTGAACTATCGCTATTATCAAAACTACGAATTCATTGTGAAACGCTAATTTTCATTTTGATTATATTTTCCACGTGCATATTTTATCTGAAAGGTCACCTACGGTGTTGAAGAAATTAACTGCTTAGTCACTAGTGGCACTGCTACTTATAACTGCGTTCAACAAATAAAATAAATATAGATGCGATTTAAGCCTTTGCCTAGTGGAGAGGTGGCAATATCGTACTATATCCACAGTATTTCATTGGTAAACATTATCTATAAAATTTGCATAACATAAATAGTTTGTCGATAAGATATAATAATCAACGTATTGCATCAGATATTTAAAGTCACTGACTTTCTTATGCCAATCATTTAATGAAATGACCGGTCATATGTTGAAGTGACCAACTATAAGACTGTTTAGAGACATGTTCTCCATACAAATTTTTAAACAGCTAGATACTTATTAATTAAAGTTATATTAATAGTTTGATAAACTAATATGATAATTGTCATTGCAAATACCATTTACATTAGTTCATTAGAAATTATTACGCGTTAAAACATCTTAAATAGTTATATAAGTAAAACTTCATTATTGTTTCTTTATTATCTGCGATAAACAATTAGACAATGATAAAGTTGTAATAATAAAAACATTTATTACATTTCATTGCTTCATATTTACGCGATTAAATATAAATATTTAAAACTTAAATACCTAGCTTGTTTATTAATTTACACATTTCACAAACGTATGATTATTTGTTAAATAAAATGCCAATAATTCCGCAATTATTCATAAATAGTTATATATACTAGATATATAGTAGAATTTTATATCAGTTATTGTACCTAATACCTGATATATGTGTATTTATGTGAAATCTCTCAAATATATGTGTATAACAACTTTCTGTTCGAAAATAAAATAACAGACAATACTTTGCGCCTGTTATAATACCAAAGCAATATTTTAGAAGATCATTTGTTGACAAGAAGTTTCTTAACGATCAAATTTTCGATGAAATTAAGTCATACTTAAGACTTATTTTTCTGTTTGATGGAATTATTGCATTATATAATTCAAGAAATAAAAAACTACGAGTATACAAATACTACTTACAATTGCAAAGCTAATGAGATTATTGATAACAGCATGATAATTATTTGATTGATGACTCCACACAATTTTGTCTGTGTCGCTGACGATTTGTAGTTTTTGTTTAAATATTAGTTCACGTTATTAAAATACAAGTGGTCGCCTGCGACTCTGACCGGAATTGAAAATAACAATTAGTAGCCTAAGAGTTCTTCCAGACTATATTCTGTATGTATATCAAATTTCATTAACATCCGTTCAGCCTTTCTAGAGGTACCTTCAATCATTCATCCATCCATCCGTCCATCCATCTATCAGATAAAGACTTACTAATGTTATAAATGCGAATGTTTAGATGGATAGATGCGTGGATGGATGTTTATTTAAAGGTATGTCGAGAACGGCTGAACGGATCTCGATGAAATTTGGCTTACATAGAGTACTGTGTCTGAAAGAACACATAAGCTACTAATTATGTTTTTTATTAATTTCGCGCGGACGGAGTCGACTGCTAGTGTTTTATATTTTTTAAGATAGAACAAATTAGCAAAAAAATAAATATCTTATCTACATATCATAACCTGTTTAGTCCTGGCACGCTCGAGTGATTATCGTTATGCATATTAAGAGACAAAAAACAATAGTCTAAACCAAGCTGCTAATTGCCGCAAAAAATTACTTATATACAACAATTAAATTATACAAACTTTTGCTTAATATACATAGAGATTAAAGAATTGTGGTTTTTAAATGCATATAAAAATGTTGTTTTATTCTCATGTCGGCGTTTTCAAACGTTTGTATTTCAGATGTTTTTGTTAGTATTATTTCTAGCATCAAATTAATCCGTTATAATTGTTAAAGTTAATCAAATTTATTATACCATTGTGAGTAAACGAAGAATACAAAGGTTATTCACCCTGAAATTTTATCTTAATTAGACTTATTTTAAGTTAGGTGCAAATCTTTATAAGCCATTGAACCTATTTTTTCCCGCCGTACGACTAAGTCCAAATATTTATTTTAACAGTGGTAGAGCCCGCTTTAACATCTTCGCACGAATTGGCCCGGCTCGCCCGGTAAAATACCACGACCACACAGAAGACAGGCGTGAAGTGGGTGCAATTCCGCGTTTCGTCTGATGAGTGTGCGTCCCGGAGGCCTAATTTAGTCCTCTTTCTCATCCCACCGTTTTTCTTTTAAGGAAACGATGGGAAGTGGAAGTGGACTTTCCGAATGAGAGGATGCATGGAAAGGGGAAATATTTTATTTCTGTGCATCCTCTCCTACGTCGATTATGCAGTCGAGTATGCAACGCATATGCAATTGCATATGTCCTTAATTGTGATTATAATGTAATTAATTCACAAGTAATCGTACAAGCAAGAATGAAATATTATAGGTAGATATTTCATTTTTCAATCATAATGTAAAAAGATCTATGGTGGTTTAAATTCAGAGCAAACACTCAGAATTCCAATAAAGCCGAAAAAATATTGCTAACAAATGAATAAAATATTTTACCATTTTCATATACAAACGTTTTAAATAAAAGCCAAAAAAATCGATACGCATGATTGATTTAGAAGAATCATTTATTTAAAAATGTTTGATTAAATAATCCATTGATTATAAGAGAATTCAATAAATGTATGGATTCTGAATTCTAAACCACCTAATTGCTATTAAATTACATAAAGCTAAAATATTCTGATACGTACCTTCAATTCTGATTCTATGAAATCGAATCATTTTTAAATCCTTTCAAGAATCCTGTAAAAACGACACAAATCGGTTTCGATTTCTATTATAGCAAATCTCAGTGCGGTGATCGGAGCAAATAACTTTTCTTAGTAAACTAGGCGGTTGACGGTTTCCCCTGCGAGGGGGAGCCTGCGTTTCTCCCTCTGAGTGGAGTGAGGGCCATTCAAAGACGGTTCGCGAAGCTCTCACGGTGCTTTGGTTCTTCAGTTTGGCGGGCTTAGCCAACGCGGATAGTCGTGTGTCGCGCTCTCAGTTCTCCAATCCAGTTACGGCGTAGAGATCGCGCGTATTTCAACACTATAATAACAAACCAACCCCAACCGATAGTTTATGTGCCAATCGTGAACGATGTCAATAAACCCAAGCTTTTTGTTGTACTTACAATGCTTCATCGCCGTAAACATTTTATTGGTAAGTTTTTAATGTTTTTCATATTTATGTAAGTATTAATTATTTTAATTTTCAAACTAATCAGCAGGAAAATTAAAAATATAATAATTTTTAAGGTAGTATATATATCGTTTTTATTTCACCATCAAACATCAAAAGAAAATTTAATTCATAACGAAACAATATTTTTGGATAGATAGAGAAAATAGCATTAGGAAATAAATAATATATTTTCCTGATTAAAATAAAATATAAATAATATAAAAAATATAATTGTACTTATCATTAATAAAAACTAGGTAAAATAAATAGGAGTAGGTGATTTCCAAGTAAACACTTTTGTACTACCAATATAATCTTGTTTTTCTTAGAATGTTATAAAGGTCGAGTATCAAAAGTCCCCGGGGAAAAGGTTACCTTTAACTTTGACCTTTGTCTGTGATTTGTTACCTTTGACCTGAGATAAAAATCATTCTAAAGTCGCTAATACGCACTTCTAACAAAACGTCAGCGAAGCTACGATTTTGAGGTACCCAGCAATTAATTCTAAGTGCAATTATCGATTAATGATGTTTGCACATCTTCTTGCACTTAGATTGCAAAATAATTTATAAAAATGCAGTAACCACAATAACCTAAATCATGAGAATCCACTGGTGAAACTAAAATTAAAAACAATTTTATTGAAAAAACATAAAAATCGAAGGAAGTAGATGATTTTTCGAATGGCAGTTTTGGAAAATTCTCGCCCCTCACATCATCAAACACATTAATATAAATTGCATAATATACACCGGTATCCAATCAAAGCCCATAAACCATAAACAAACAACACTTTTTACCCTAAAACTCGTAAATTATAATATATTTCTGACAAAATACTTTTTCTCTCATAACTATATAAAACCTAATTGAGTAACCTATGTGTTCTTCCAGACAATGTTTTACATCTATGCCAAATTTCATCGAGATCTGTTCAGCAGTTGTAGAAATACCCTCTAATAAAAATCCATCTATCCAAACATTCGCATTTATAATATTAGTAAGATATTGCTTTATTTTATCTCACAATTTTCACAAATTAACTAAAAGCACCAAATATCTAAATGACCAACATATATAGAATTTGTGACTACCTATTTTAGTCTTTTAATCGAAGGATAGGTTTAATTGTGCGAAAGTTAACTTATGAAGTCGTAATATGTTTCAATATTTCCAACAAGAATTTGTTTAAACGATATTTTAATCTGAATACTTAAGATTTAATTTTACATAAGAAACGTGTAATTTGTATAGAAACGACAAGCACCTGTCGTTAGATAAATAAGTGTTCAAGGCTGATTAATGTTATTTCTAAAATACACGGCTAGTTATGTGAAAGTGTTCTCCATAGTAAAGTTATAATAAATTCTATTACATAAAATACATAACAATTTTCAACAACGCTTATATTCTTCGAATTCTTGTTATACACATATTATTAAGCGTAAATAGCCTAATGGTTAAGAGTACGGATTTCCGAACACGACAACGGGGGTTCGAATCCCGCCATTCGACTATTGTCGTAAACCATACCAGCACAAGCCTAGAGCTTAGTTGGAATGGTAAAAGAAATAATAGTAAATGTACAAAAAAAATATTAGTATCACAAGGGTAAAAAATAAATTATCTATGTAGACAGATTTTAGCCGTAAGTTTTCAGAAATTTCTCATAACACCAACTAAAAGTTGTGATTAGAAATGACTTGTTAACTATACGTATAATGCTGATTAAATTTGCCTAAAAAAATTGTATAAAAGCCATCCTATATCTTAGTTTCAATCTATAATCCTAGACTTAATTTATCTATTGTCATGGAATAAATAATTGGATTAATCTAAATCAACGCCACAAAGTAAGCTAACAATTATGTAGATCATAATTCGTAACCATCTACTCGTATAATTTATCCGCAATGAGTGATAATTAAAAATCCTGCATACGAGCTTTAGCGGCCGATAGAAACAAGATAACTATCGTTTCCGTTAACTGTATGTATTGCAACATTGCATTCTATAGTAACACGGAGTATACAAGTTCGGAGGCGGTAACTACAATTGTAATACATCGTTTACATTACCCCGACCTCAAACTATGGATATGGTATATGCATTAAAGGGCGTATTTAGTGTTTGTCGGTAGAGAACCGCTATCTAGCTGTATCAATTACTAGCGCCGCTTGGTTGCTTCCAATTACGAGCTCTAGTTCAAATACTTCCTATTCATAGTCGTCTTAAGATTAATCAAATTGCTCGACAATGCAATAACACAATGAAAATGGATTTCAAATTTACTTGAACACGCGTAACTCATTACCCCGCCAGAAAGCTACATTAATTTACTTTAGGACATAATGTAAAAAAGGGTTATCATTTGTAATGATTTTCATCCTAAGTTTTTTATAATATAAAACTAAGGTAGATAAAGAGTGAACTTACCTCGCCTTGTTTCTTTCTACAATCGCCAGTTGGCATGAACTTAACTTACTAATTTTATAAATGCGAATGTATGAATGGATGGATGTTTGTTAGAAACTATCTCGCGTTAGTTTAGTAGTTTGTTAGAAGCTAATACGCGTAGACCGAGTTGCTGGCGATAGCTAGTAACTTAATAAATTATGTGTACGTCGACTTTGAAAGTAGTTCCACAAAACTTCCAAGATGTAGTTTTATCTACAGCGACGCGTGGGAATCTCCGACCGTGCAATTAGGGTACGAAGGGCGCGGAGGGCATTCAATTACTCTCAGAGCATGTGTAGATGTTTTTATTGCTGATCCTCTTGTCTGCGCGAGGAAATCAACGCGGACAAAATAAACGAAGTACATTAGATTCATTCTTCAATTGTTTCTTTAACTATCGAACAGGAAACAGGAAGAGAAATCAAATCTGATTTATCGGAAATAAGACTGACTGTCTGTTCTCGTTATGATGTTTTAAGACATGCAACATATGGGATATCTTTTATTGTCCACTTCATGATTTCTTATTACGACATTGTAAGAAATTCGTGCAACTTTCTCGGTAGATGCTTTCCGTGTTTTCGATCTGTTTGCATTTGGTTTCAGACGTTTTAAGTCGTCTGCTATCAAATATTATCCAAGAGTTATAAGATTCAAGGACAAAACAAAAGAAACTAAGTAAACTTTTAATATAACAGAAAATATTTCATTCATCAATTATTTGGTATTACATGTTGTTAAGATTGTATTAAAATATATTACGGAAAAAAAATTAGAAATTGACACGTAATTCTGCATTTTAATATTTTATTGATATACATAAATCAGATTTGCACAAAAATAAGTAATGAGATTGAATGTGGATGGCTACAAGGGTAGAGGAAGACCAAAAAAAAGTATGGAATGACTGTGTGAAAGAGGATATGCGTAAGAAGGGGGTAGACTCGGATATGACGGCTGATAGAGATGTATGGAGGAGTAGTACATACTGTGCCGACCCTCGATACGGATAAGGGCAGGTTGATGATGAGATTTGCACAAAAATCACTAAACAAACTAAAATAAATAAATAAGTACGCGTACTTATATGGTTACTATTTAAAGACTGACGTCATTGTTAGTAAGTTATTATTTATTGTGTTGATCCAAATAAAAACTTTCATGATAAAGTCGTCAAATGTTGATTGCAATTGTTCATTTTTTCTCAAATAGAAATCCCATTGTAATCTAGACTCGAAAGTGATTCTTCAATACGTTTTTCTATCGCGTAAGAATGTAGTAAATGTTCCGGCAAACTTTATGTCAATGACCGCATCCAATTATGGTTACGTAAAGGAGGAACATTTTTTCATGATTCAATTGGATTTTTTTTTAACTTAAGAATGTTATCCAATTTACGATTCTTACGTCGATAGCGATAGCTTGCAATAGACGTGAGCTATGCTTGTAACTTCTAACGGATTTCAAACTAAACATTTTTTTTTGCTAAAAGAACATCTACCTAATAGCTTGCTATCTATCCATAAAACACCGTTGGATAACCAATATCTATTTTTGTCTTCTAGTCTTTAAAAATATTCTGTTTTTTTTTTTTGTTATTTGTTTGTAATGAAAAAACTCTAAAACTATTGGACCGATTTTATTAACTCTTTTATTAATAGCAAACTACATTATTGTAAGACTTCTCTAAATTATATCTATAAAATTATATTCTATTAGAATAGTAAAAGTATTTAAAAATACTGTTATTACTGTTGATTAACTATCGTAATATTTCCACATTTAAAGAAAAATGATTAAATTTTAAACGCAGTAAGACGAGATCATTTCCGGTCAGCTTCGATAACTTGATTTATGAATTTACAAAAACGAGTTACGTGCCCTAAAACTGTGCCAAAGCGATTTCCGTTCAACAAAAGTCATAATAATTGTCGCTTGCGCAAGTATACAACTTACTTATTTTTATTAATATATTTATTTTAATAAGGAAATACATACTATATAATGGTTTTAGTCTGTGTTTTTCCTCTACCTAATCTCTACATTTTATTTAAACAAAAGCTCATAACCTCCAATCTTACTAATGTTATAACGCCAATAAGCCAAAGCTAAATTGAAAACAGATCAACGGATCTCGCTGAAATTTGGCATAGACGTAGAACATAGTCTGGAAGAACACATAGGCTACTTTTTTTTTAATTCCAAGCGTACGGAGTCGCGTGCAACAGCTAGTAGTATGTGAAAGGACAAAATAACAGTATGCGTGACACAAAGCTATAAACATTTCCTTCCCTTGATTCCTGTACATTTGCACCGTTCCCTTCGCGAGTTAAACGTTAGCAGGCGCCTCAATGAACCTGATAGGTACCGTTGCGTGCGTCATACCAGCCGGCCGGTCGAGTCGAGCCTGCGACCCTGTTCGCCCTATCGATCTATGGACAGAAACCTAGTCTTGCCTTATATATCTTTAATATTTATCTTTAACTATCAAATTTTATGAATATTTTCAATATTTTGATTGA